GGCTATCAACCAATCACAGCGTACGTACTATTTGATTTATTTTATAAATCAAGATACTTGACCAATAATTGTTTACTGATCAAAATGGGTGCCACATGTGTTCACAATCAATTTTAGGATTGTACGATATTCATTAAGGTTCAAACATGCTTTCTAGTAGATCTTCTGCTGGCTTGAAGGCAAGGTTGCTGTAATGTACTACGTCGTTAGGCGCCGGTATCCGACTACCATGAGTACCAGTCCCCCACGGGTAAGAATCAGATATTGGATAGACATCGAGGATAAAGATTCCTGCTTTACACATGGCCCACGAAGCATAGGCATTGTATAGTAAAACACGCTGAAACAATGCAGAAGACAGTGATTAATATGGTGCAAACTGAACACCCGGTGCTACGTTTATGCCTAAGAATGTTTGGTCAGAATACATGCAAGTCTAAACGTGTTCCAAGTAAGGTCGTTAGACATTGAATCCCACATATTTATAATCTTGTTATGTTGACTGAGTTATTTATTGGATGATAGGATAACAAGAGAAGAGAAGAGAAGAGAAGAGAAGAGAAGAGAAGAGAAGAGAAGAGAATATATGGTCATGTCCAACCAAACGATTCCGTCCCTTTACCACATATCCTTGATATATTCAGCTAAACCATCGCTACTGGGGTTTACACCTCATCGGACCTTGATCACGGCGCCGTAGGAAGAGGTCAAACGGCTAATAAAACGTGTAGAACTCGCCTTAGCTTATGGTAATTAGCGCGGCAAGATTGCCTTTAGTAATATATGCAACTATATCTTAAACACCAAGGTAGTTATTACCTGAAATGTCAAGAAACGACGACGACCCAGTTGAATGTTCGTCGCTCTTTGCTTGTTAATTGCAGTCGTGGTTTTCCAAATGATACGCCCTTCGTAGAAAGGCCTAATACGATTGGTCGAGCGATCCAGATATGTTTCTTTGAAGACTTTTATTAATCCGTTAATTAACTGTTGATAGCTCGTAAAATTCACACTTTCAACGTAATGAAGTCCACAATTGATGAGAAATACGCTCTCGTGGTTCATCACAGTATCGTTTCTAAGCACCTCACGCACGGAATCCAAAATTCTCTCCACATCAAAGTCCAAGTCATCAGTTTTGGTCTTGTCGATGGTGTAGTTCACGATAGGATAAATCCAGTTGTATTTTCCAATGCAGTATCTAAAGACGCCTCGACAAATTTTGCGGTATCTGAGCGACATCGCAAAAAAATCGCTGACCGAGTCGCCATAGGAACAGAAGGTACCTTGCCTGAAGCGAGGGCTGCGGAATGGGGGCACATCTGTAATTAGTTAATAAAAGTTAAATAGTTTTGATCAGTATTGTCATCGCGTTATTGAGACAGCTGTGAGGGGGTGGAAGGAAGGGATTGCTGGGATGTATAAAGACAAAACAAGCGAGCATGAACTTGTTGTATTCCGACCATTTAACCCCTCTAGTCTGCAAGAATTACCATACTTACTCGTAATGTAAGGCTGCCATGTGCTTCCGATCCATCTACCAAATCCATCCCATAATAAGTTACAACCAATGTTACACTTGGCTTCACTGGCTAGGATACTTTGTTTAATCATTGTATTAGCACCTACAGAAAACATTGATACAGTCAATGCCGAATTCCAAACTTTTCCATACGAAAAAGAAATCATTACCTATAGCACTGTTCATACCTTCTTTTGGGGGTGTCAAACAATAACTGGGGTGCTGTTTCCCCACAATTGAGAAAGATATTATTCCCTATAGCATTGTCATATCTTCTTTGGGGTGTCATAGTAATAACTTGGGTTCTGTTTCCCCACAATTGAGAAAGATATCATTCCCTATAGCACTGTTCATACCTTCTTCTGGGGGTGGTATTGTAATATCCACTGGGGTAGTGTTCCCCCACAACTGAGCAAGTAGATAATCTCGGTTTTTGTCTACTTCAGGATACCGCTGACCTTTACCTTGTGCATTGCCTAAAATTTAAAACGAAATGAGCACTCTTGTAATAATCAACCCTCTTTTTGAAGGCTCCTCACTTCTAACCCCTTACAGTTAATCTTCTTTTACATGACCACTTTTCCATGCGCCCCAGGTTACTTATATATGGCTATTTAGAAGATACATGGATAGATATATAGTGTACCTTTGATAAACCAATCAACAGGAGGATCCCTCAGTCCATTGCACAGAGAATAATCCAACATAATCTCAGCCCGATATACTCCATGCTCCATAGGAAGAAACAAAACTTCATATGAACCGTTTCTATGATCAATAACAGTAGGTGCAATGTACGCTGGTCCTATCAGATGCACTCGCCAGGCATCTCCACCAATCAGCTTCGGAATTCCTTCCGACGTCTGTGATTGGATAAAAAATCGGCTGAATCCTCCAGCAGGGTTGATGTCCCACTTAAAGAGGTAGCTTGTTTCAGGGTCTGTAACAGGGTTGTCTCTCCAGTGTGGAGGAACCTTTCCCCAATGTGTGTTTCCAGAACACGGCGCCATAATTCCTTTCCAGTCAAGTCTTGATCTTTGCATGCGACACCAATGAAACTCGAACGCTCTTTTGTTGATCGCATCCTTATCAGCCAAATCCAACGCCCAGTCCTCTTTTAAAGTAACCACAGTAGTTTCTTGTTGCCATAGTGACCATGGCTCCCATGTCAACCAGGTGTAGATAAAGCTTATGGTAATTAATACGAGGAAACCGGTTTTGTAAAGTCTTTTCTTGAGGACGTAAACATGGCGTCCTCTATTCGCAGAAGTAACCTCAGCTCTCGGCATCTCATTTTATGTGTCTTAAACTTGAAAAAAAAAAAAAAAAGATTTAGAAATAGTCTAGGTATCAAGTACAAGGACTCCCATTTTAACGTATGATTATTCCGTTTTTGTTATATGTAATCCACTGGAGTTATCATCTGAGGCCAGTCGCTCAAAGCCTTTTATTTAGTGGATCAGTGCTTATCCAAGTTTGATGACCACTGCAAGGCAATTCACAAAGTTTAGACCCGCGAACTGTTTTCTGCTGTCATAAATAGGTAAACACAGCCGCGGCATTTGACTAAAAGGGTGATAGAAAGTACAGTTATACATTTGTTTGAAACCTGGCATCCAAGGATTGATAATATTCAATTGAACATTGAACTGATAAACACCTTACCTCAAATCTATCGATGAAAATACATTATTAGGCTCAAGTCTTACCTTTATGTGCAGACAAATCAGCATACGGAGGCCTTTAGAGGCACAGAAGAGAGTATCATGATAGGATTATAATGCCAAAGTTATATTACTCAGTCCTCTTGAAGGGACCTACAATGTTGCCTGGTTACCTAGTAAGATGACGTCCAACTGGTACCAGCCAAAACTTGGGTTAACAATAGGAAAATGATGACAGATTAGTGATTCTCAACACACAAAAGAATCAAAATATTTAGAATTATTTAAATGACAATGATCAGTACCTTAAAGAAATGGAAAGCGAAATGTATATAACATTTAATTTTCTTTCTCCCGTACGCCTGACCTTTTAAAACGGGCCATAAGGTTGCCCTAATGTTATTTGTTATTTGACTTAAAGAACTGAGGGAGGAAGAAAAAAATTGGAATACCTGTAGCAATTTTGCTGCCGCTGTAAGACCGTTTATGGATGATCAGAGATTAAAAACAATAATGATAAAAATATTCAATATGAACATATTAAAGCTATCATTAGATAAAATCTCTAAAACCAAAATTCGAATTCCTTTGATGTTCCTTGTCAGAATGACATATATATAAGCAATGATAGAGCGACGTTTTCTTAACGAATAAGTAAGAAAGATAAAGAATAAATTACCTGCTAGAGACTAGTGGCGGGGAAGACTAGTGGCGGGGAAGACTAGTTAGTAAACGATAATAATATAGCATGTGGTATCGATTCGCTTTTGAAGCGGCTCAAAACTGCTTTTAGAGGCCTGGACCTGAGTAGACCAGACTAGAAAGTCAGACGATTGCTCCATTGTAAATAAGAAAGAAATAAGCAAATTTAAGGGTTTCGTCAAGGGTTCAACTACAGTCCGAAATCAATCTCAGAGAACACAGATTTCACAAGGCTTTATGTCTAGTCAGTTCACAGATATAATTCCTCCTCGGACAATTATTAAAACGATTAGTGTATGGTTCAAGCATTAATGGATATTCCAGTGGTGTTTATCTCCAACCCTCCACAAATATTATATACACTATATTTCGTTTTCCTTTATTGGTGAATTTCTATCCAACAGTGCCTGGATAAAAGATGAATGTTAACAGATGTACGCTTTCGTAGTCAGCACCGTAAAGGTAAGCGGTAAGGTTGACCAAGACATGCGCCGATCTTCGTGTACAGAAAAGTGTGAATGTTTTTGGGGTTTAACTTTATTTGTATGGATCATGATTTATTACAAAATCAACACAACCGAAAAAATTCCAAATGTATTTGAATTAAGTAAGACGAACGGACTTAAAAGCTCAAGGTTCGAGAAAGACTGGTGCCGAATGAAAAGATACCAAAGAGACTGGGAACGACTTTTAAAACCCTGTAAGAGTAACTTAAAGTGGGTTGAGATGATTCCATCAGAAAATGCCGTGGCAACGGACCCAGATAGAAGTTATATAACACTATGGAATGTTAATAACGCAGGTCAATTCAGCTATATTTCGATACAGACTGTTACGCGCCAGAAGGCAAATTGAAATATTTTGGAGGCGACGCTTGGCGAGTACACATGACGGATCCCTCTGCCATTGCACCGGTCGTTATTGACCATACTAATGGAACATATGAGATTTTGTTTCTTGCAATGGAGCCTGGGAAATATTGGGTGCAAGTGATGTTGGTTGATGTTGCGTGCGATGGTTTAAGGAATCCGCCATCTGATTGGTTCAAACGAGGTAAAGAAGCGTCTCTGATTGGTTGAGATTAACAAGTTTATTCATTCACTAGTTTAAAGCATTCGTTTTGATGCTCGTTTTATAGGAAACTCCCAAGGAAAAGACCAACCGCAAGGTATTTTGGGTAAAGACAAACCATATCTATTACAGCCCTTGTGGGACGGGAGTCCTGTGGAAGTAACGATCAAGCGACAAATAAAGAGTCGAGGTAAAAAGCTGAATGATTTTTTTTTTAAATTTTCCTGGTTAACTTAAGATCAAAAGTAGGTATAGAGATGGAATGGTAATGAAAAATCTATAAATAAAAGCCGCATATATGATGTCTTTCTAGGTCAATACATCCATTCCTTAGAAATCATCGATCCTGGATCCGTCATCTTACCTTTATCAAAACATCAAATATCCTCAGCAAACTAGCACATCATATCTTAGTGAACTAGATAAATCCGTAGCCTGATAGCTTGAGATGAATATTTATATATCAAAGGCTTTCTTTTCCCATTAAGGAATAGTATTTTTTTCTTTAATAAGGAAATATCGATAACAAAGTATCACTAGTTGAGAGCACAGCTTATAAAGCTTTATGTAGTCCTTGTAATGAGCTTTGGAATGGCTTAGGACGATGGGTTAACAACAGTTGGACTCCATACAGGTAATACTTTGATAGACTCTTCATGAGATAGAGAACGAAATAAATTGAAAGCAATTAAGGTCGAACCCAGTGGAGAACTGGATGACAAGCCACTCCCAAACATTGAATTTTGTTTGTCTTAACCTACGTTTCTTGATGGTCTGCGGTTGTTGCGAGGGGACGAGACGTCTGGTATTCTGTACCTAAACTAGACCAAAATGTATAGCTTTGTAAAGAAAGGTTTTATCTTATATGTTTTGAACTCGACAATGACTTTACATAGCATAGTGTGTATGCTTTTTTTAAAAAGGTGGCGCGGACCGGAAATACCATACAAACCAAACTGGTCTTTTGTGGATATACGGCGACTCTGTTGCAGCAAGCTTTTACAAAACGATCAAAACGAAGCTTATTTGTACCAATATCTTCAAAAGGTGAGGCTACAGCTACAACTGGGTTTACCAAATGGAAAACTACAATCTGACTCTTCAACGATTCGTTAAAAAGGACCTCACAATTGCCAAGAAGGAAAAAAGACGATCTTGACTTCCAGGTCGACAACGTCATCAATGAAATCGACAAGTCCTTTATCACCCAGAAACGGACAAAGATGGTGTGGTTGTATTAAACTGGGCTGCATTTGGTAGAAAATACAAATTTCTCAGACTATAAAATCTTGATTGATAAACTGGTTAGGCTGGTCAAAGAGGAGACCAGGGATGGTGATGGAGATATGGTAAGGAGATTCCAAGGACAGTTTGTATGGAAGACAACAACCGCTAGCAATCGAGAAAAGTACAGCATGAAACACTTGCACTCACTTTACGTTTACATGTACATATAACTAAGTCCTTTAAGTGCAAATGAACTCTTCGACAATACTTTCAGTACTGATTCTACACGAAGTAAATAGTTGAATGGTAAAATATTTCTTGATTTAAGTGATGCGTCTCTAAGTTATGAAGTTTATGCTTCAAATATGCTAATGATGTGACGTCTATTAAGGCTTAGTTAAATATACAGTCAATTCAAAAAATGTTGTCGTCGACCATCTCAAGCCTACGCGACTGGACCGAAAGGAACTCTGGGTAGCAATCATTGAAGCCGAGTTGACTCCATAATTTTATCTGACTAATTATGCCTGGTTTACAGCACGAACCCTCGTAGGCGAGCGGAAAGTGTCGGAGACTTTTTTTTAATGCCTTCATATTTTCGAAATTGTGAACTGAATCATAACTACTTTGTTTTCCTTTCCCTAAACCCAAAGACATGCATTTGATGGATTGTTTCTGGCCATTATTATCTTATTACTAGCGGGAACAATTAATTCAGAACGAATATTTGACCGCTTTAGTGATTTTTACCCATATTCCTTTCGGTCCAGTCGCGTAGGCTTGAGCCGGTCGACGACAACGTTTTTTGAATTGACTGTACAAGATTGAGCTGGTTCATAGAAACAGTATCTAAAAAGCATAATTATTTTACTCATGGTTTACATGAAAGCTATTTTAAATTTGTATTTTCAAAATGGCCAGCATTTAGTATTGCTAGTTACAACAAAAACACTCAAATACCTTACCTGACGTCATCATCATTAACATATTGGAAGAAGAAACCTTCATAACTTAGAGACGCATCACCCAAATCAAGAAATATTTTACCAATCAACTATTTAATTTATGCAGAAGCAGTACTGAAAAGATTGTCGAAGGGTTTATTTGCACTTTAAGGACTTAATACTCTAGTTTGGAGTTCTCTTTGCTCACTCTCGGTTGTGCGTTATAATAATCAGCTATTCAACCAAAACCCGTGGCATTTTAATCAACTCGTATTGTTCCGTAGTGTGAATGGGTGTTTAACATGTACTGATAATTAAAATATGATGCTATAAATATACTCTTGTAGCAATTTTCTTTACAAGGAATCAAAAACAAAATCATTATTACTTCCTTATTATGATGTACCGATAAGATAACCCCTCATCGCGTACGTGCATCGATCCATTCCTAATTATTTATGATTCAAAGCAGGAAATGCAGCCTCGAGGCATTATCGTTAGACGTGATCATGACCACTAGTACTTTTAGTGACAAAAGCTAAAATTTAAAGTGAAATTTTAGAAAACGATAAAGATGTATTGCAAGCAAAGCGACGCAATTAATCAAGTAGGAGTAGTACTCAAGGATGAAATAATTGATATTAATATTTCGCAAGTTTGAAATATAAAAAGATTACCAACTGTAAAAGAAAGAGAATCAGATTAAATTTAATGCCAGATAACAGAAACAGATAACAATTCATTTTCTACAGCCTAGAACATCAAAATGCAAATTTATTTATAATACAGTTGTCGTCTTCTGCTTCTCGCTCTCGTTTTTCCATCTCTTTAATTCTTCCTCCAACTTTTCGAAAGAAAAATCAGGGATGAGACCAAGCTTCACACAAAATTATTCATAACTCGAAAACTAAAAAAAATCGTGAAAATAATAATTTCTCTACTTCGGATTTTATGGTCTTATCCTCTTAAAGATCAAAAGGTGTATAAATATGTATACGGTTCCCTAATAAAAAGGTAATTCAGCGGATTCACGCTTTTTTCTGTGCGTGTACATAAATCGAAAATTGCACATATAGCCTCCCAACTTTGAATTAATTTATAAACAGAACCGTATTGCGTTATATACTTGAGAATCCCATTTAAAAGCCAAGGAAAGTTGACATAAATATTGAATCCATTCGGGACTCTCATGGGACTGACAACATGAACTTCTTATACGAGAGATGCTTATTAGATAGACCTTATGGGTTCAGCCTTTTATAAACGGACTGAATGGAGGACTATTTAATTAAATCAAGGTAGTTTTTAGAATTCCTTCGTTTTCATACTTACATTTATATAACTTTTTTGCGTCTCCGTTTTTCACCTATATATTCTCTTAGCGTAATTATAGTCATTTTTCATATTTGCACTTTTGAAATTATTAAATTTTTCCAATTGAGGAAGACCGTATTTGAAACGTTTTTTTTTTTCCAATTTGAAGTTGTATGGGCAGCTGAAAATTGCTGGTTCGCCTCGCATTTTATTCAAGAAATATACGTATATATTTTAAAGGCTCAATAGACCTCATTGAATGTTCAGTGAAGATTTTTAAATCCATTATATGATTATCAACCTTTTTCCTTGACTTGACAGCTTTGGACTAAATTAAAGCTTAGGCTTTATCTGAAGCGGATTAAAAGCAGCATTAATTATAAATAATAACTGTACGTCATTTCGTATTTGTAATCATGTAATTTAGATGTAGTTCAATTTATGCACGCGTTCAGAAACTCGCAAAAAGATAGGTCCGCGATTCCCTGAGTCGTATTGAGTCAAAAGCACCGCGTTCTTTCATTTTATGTTGAAAGGTAAGAGAGCTTGTTTTTGCTAAATACAGATTCATAAAGTATGATTTTATTCTCTAGATTCAATTATTTTTGCAAGAGGTTTCTATTCCGCAGTTATAGTAATTACTACACTTCATCATTACCATCCGTTCACCAAGTTGGTATAGGGAGTTTTAGCACTGAAAAACTGTACTATTTTTTTACACGGCTGATTAATATTTAAAGAGAAAAATCGTAATGGCCTTCAAGACTGAAAGAGTGGGAATCCTTAAAGGATTTAAAATTTGGGTACACGATAAGCATCTCGAGAAAAACTTTACAAACTTTATAAAAAATAATATTTCATTGATTTTGGCTGTTTGATTGTAATTCCAATGTCGTACGTGATGTCGTTCTCGGTAACGATCTTTATTCTTTTCGTAGAATAAAGGTTCATTTTTCGCTCTATAGCAATTAAATTTAATAGAGCTACCAAACTACCATGTATTCTTATCATCTCCTAGTAAATCTATTACGTCAATTGGTTTATTAAATTCGTGTAGACTTCTTTTTCAATAATAAAAAAACTGACTATAGAATTGAAATTGAAACCCTGAGATAACTGTGACATTTTTGCCATTAATAACACTTCTTTCATTGTATTCAGACTCGTTGGTGATTTAAAGAAAAGCAATCCATTCAAGGCAGCTGTCTTCGTCCCAAGACATTCACCGTTTTCACTGTTTGTTCAACCCTGTACAATCTGTCGGAAAAGAAAAGCTCTCTACAGCGTTTGTCTATTTTGTCCAAACATACGGCGTATAAATATTCTTCAATTGTGATAGATTTTTCATTGAGGAGACGAGATTGCGTTGTTAGAGGACCGTTCGACGCGAGTGGAAGAACTGAATTTACGTAAGTATGTTATGTTATAATAATCCTTTTTGCATTTTTTAGTTTAAAAGTACATTAATGAACAATATTTTTTTTGAATATTATTTTTCTCAGCGTCTTATATATTTTTTCAAGTAACTATTGGATTTCTTTCTTCTTTAGTCCATAAATAATTATCGACTCAGTCCTCAGAAAGTAAAGTTTCTGTGCCTCGAAGGCTTTTCTCTGGCTTCTGTCGACGTTCTCTGTAATATTATGGTGGATAGATAGATTGTAAGCTTTAAAAAATGGCAGCAAGATCTAACTCTTCGTTTCATGAATCGACGGGTATGAACAATAACTACTTTAATTCTAAAAAAATAAGGAAATAAGTTAAACTAAGTTACTGTGCGTTTTACCTTTTAGTTTTGATTTATTTTATTTTTGAATAACTTCAATATATAATGATAAATAATGAAAAGAGCAAAAATTCAATTACTATTACTGTTACAAATTCAAAATCACCTACTTTGGGTCTACGAAGTTAGGATACAAATTTGAATGAAATATTAAATATCAAGTAGAAAGGAAAGAAAAGGAAAGGAAAGTACTACTCTGATGTCTTTTCTTGCCATAAAGCACACGGAAGCAGCCTGACTACATGAAAACAGAAAAAAAAAATGTGCGTGCTAATAATTACTTGATTTATGCAAGCTATGAATACCAGCATATTTTCCTGTTATTGAAAGCAAGAGTTTGTATAGCTGATTGCCTGCTGGTAAAACAGCTACCACTTCGACATCTATCTTCTGTAGTGTCGATACCTTTGTTTGTGTTCAGTGATTTTTCAGGTTTTTTTTTTTTTCATTTACGAATTTCTATAAAACGGCAGATGTCTGAGAAATAAGGGTTAGAAATCTAGAGAAACTGATGCTTATAGTAAAGCCTTTTGAAGGACCAATGCTTAGATTCCATTATAAGAGATCGTATAATGATGATGCTTGGTGTCCTCGCCTCTAGGGGTTTGCATCAAGGCTCACCAAGTCTGTTTCCTTTGATATACATCTCTTTATTGTGTAGCACTTCAATCGATGGCCGCCAGTTATCATTATGTCAACGCTCAGTTACTAGTTCGAGGTACTTATAGAAAGTAGGGTTTTATAGAATGTTTAAGAAAAGGGACTTTTCCTGCCTGGTGGTAGACGAGACAGTCTCAGCTATATTGCTAGATTTGCTTCTATACGTGAGGCTTTGAACAATTTGATTGTTGTGCAATAGAAATTTTAAAGTGCACATAACAATGACCTCAGGATAGGGATGCTTGCACTAAAACATCTCAAACAGCGCGTTAATAAATAACGAAAACATGAAAACTGATTCATCTTAAGCCCACCTCAAGCGGTGGATTTAGGAAAACATGATTGCGTTCTTAACCCAAAATCCCTCTATATTACGTACAAGGTCTGTATAAATTTAGGCCAGTTATATATGAGATGTGTTTAGTCAGACGAACATAATATCCGTAACTATTTCTGCGAGGCAAAAAGGTTGATGTTTTTTACGGATGTTCAATCGACTCATTTCCGATAGCATGGCTCAATTTAGGTCTAAGAGGAGAAACCGCGGTACAGGCGGGCAAAATTATCCACTGTAATTTATCAATATATTTTCGCGCCCAAAATAAGCTTAACTATGGTGGGAGAATTAACGCGTACGGTGTACTAAACCTTTAATGAAGATTATACTAACTCACTGATAATGATCATAGCCACCAGGATAGCCGCAGTATCTTGAAATCTAAGAGAATATTGGCTATATTCTGTAGTATACTTCTATACAATCATTATCTTAGGGACCGACGATTCCAATTCAATAGATCAAAAGGAAGGAAAGATAAGACATTTATACTGTAATAGAAGACAGGCAATTGATTTGATTGTGTTACGTTTATACAAATTTAAAGTATTTAAAGACCTCAGGATCGTTTGCTTGAATTGGTATAGAATTGCAGTGGATGCTTGGTGCATGAAGTAAGGAAAATGGGCATGAAGGGCTGTAGGTAGTTACTTCGTCAAGTTTGTCCCATAATGTACTTTACGATTTGAATCAAGAAAGAAAGAAAGAAAGAAAGAAAGAAAGAAAGAAAGAAAGAAAGAAAGAA